CTGCTCCGAGAAGAAAATTCGAGTGTATACCCGGTACTCGGTGCTGGCGTGGTTGTTCAAGTCCAAGACGGTAGATGGGAGATGCCTCAAGTGGGCAGTCAATCTGTCTCCCTGGGGCCTCGACATTCGACGAGTTGAGAACGACGAAGATGGCTTGGCAGCGATCCTGGGGGCAGGTATCACCCCCCCCCGGGATCGCCTCGACGAGGTCGCCGAGACCCTGGTTCCAGAAAAAGGTTCCCGGATCAAGACACCGCCAGTCAGCCTGGAAATGCTCTCTAGTGACCACATCGGGCACCTGTAGAGTTTCGACGGAGCCGCCAAGAGAGATGGGGCGGGGGGCGCTGCTTGCATCCTCTGGAGCCTCCCGAGTTGGGAAATCGTCGCAGCCACGGGACACTTTCTGGAGAAAGCTACCGTGAATGAGGCCGAATACTCTGGACTAGTCAAGGGCATGCAACTCGCTTTAGACATGGGGGTCCAGGAACAGGTTGTGGTCGGGGACTCCCGACTCGCAATACAGCAACTCCAGGGCGTCATTGGTTGTACCCAGCCCCACCTGTTGAGGTTACTCCAGGAGGCTGAAGTGCTCCAAGCTAGGTTCAAGTCTTTACGCCTAGTGCACGTGAAAAGAGATTTCAACGCTACTGCCGACTACATCTCCAAGCGAGTCATCCAGGATCAGTCATCATTGGAGGTCGCGGACCCCGGGGAACGCAAGTTGCTCCAAGGCCTGAATCGGATCCACGAAAAACTGATGAAGGACCCGAGCCCCCGGGAATAGTCGCTGGTGGAGTGCGCGTTCTTAGCCACAGCTCGGAATATACCCAAGTGCTCCCCTGGAAGTTTAGGGGGCGACGTGTTCGCGGTGACGCGCTCGAAGTCCAAACAGGTCAAGGCCACAGAGAAGTCGGTTCTGGGAACCGGGATCGACGACCCCGGAACCAATGACCTCGGAACCGACGAGTCGGGAACCGGTGGTCCTGGAACCAATGACCTCGGAACCGACGGTCCGGAGGACGAGCCGACAGCCGATTCCCGGAGCCCAGACTGTCAAGACTCCGAAGAAGACCCCGAAGACGTCCGCAGGGAACGATGGAGAAGGATTTGCTCTTACCAGGCACACGACCCGAGGCTAGCGCGTTTGGTAAAGTTCCTCCGGGGCGAGACTGAGCACTTGTCCCAGAAACAAACGACACACTTGGCCAAGACAGCGGACCAGTTTGTATTGGACTCCCGGGACACCCTGTTCTATGTGAGTCGGAGCACCCCAGAACGTCCCCGAGACGCCGCAGACCGCCTCCGCGTGGTAGTCCCCCAGGACCTCCAGGAGGACATCCTGCACCACTGTCACGCGTACTTCCAAGGCGCTCATCAAGGGATCATCCGGACCTATGAGAGGCTGCGCAAGGAGTTCTATTGGATCGGCATGTTCAAGGACACCGAGCGATATGTCAAGGAATGCGTGGACTGCGTCACGGCCAAGGGACTACCCCGAAACCCGGGACCGTCGCCCGGTAACCTGTTGGCTACGCGACCGTTTCA